CGGTTTCTTACCAATCGCACGACATCTATCGTGTGATTATATGAATTCGGTGGAACGCGCGTACATCGAACGTCTCGTAGAAATAACGTAATCGAGGAAACGGTCTCGATAAGCGATATTCGTTCGATCGGTTGGCCCGTTTCTCCCGATCGTGGGCGTCTCTCGATTCGGTACCTGTTCTCAACCGTGTTACCGATCGCGCGCGCCTTCGCCATCGAACAACCGCCCTTCGAAAACCGACCGAGGAAAGTCATTTCTGTCGCATCTTTGCGGTCTCGTCGAAACAAACGTTGCGTACGTGACCGTGATTGGCCTGGTGAAGGGGTGAGGGGAGAATTACATAAAAGGCACGAAGCAAGCGAGTCGCCTATTCGCCCAGCCTACGTCCTCCAGGGTCGTACACCCACGTTCATACTTCTTGCGTATCGTCTCGCGAGCTTATATGGACGATTATGTATTCAAGCGTTATCCTATGTATACTATATATACATATATACTTTTATATACGTGGAGCGTTTAGAGGAGTCGGTTAGGATCGTATTTTTAAGAAATTTTCCATGCAAGAATTCTCTCGGGATGCAGATATCGGTCTGTCGTTTCCGCGCAGATTCGTTAATCGCGAGAATGGATTAGTAATTTGTATAGTGATTCATATATTTAACGTGAATCATTTTTTTGTAGAAACGTGTTCGAATATCGTTCAAGTGAATTATTCAGAATATATATATATAATCATTTTCTCTTTTCTCAGCGAATTATATTTGAGAGATTTTTTTGCTATTATTTTCGTACAAAAAAATCTCTCGAATTTTTTTTTTATGCGCCTTACACGGCGCGTAGGAAAAAAAATAACGAACTGTTTATCTTCTATCGTACATTTCCTCCCGATATCATTAATCCGCTAGAAAATTCGCCGATATCGACTTAACGATTCTCAATAAATTGAACCAACGATACATATATATATATATATACAGATATTTTTTTATTTTTTTTATTTATTTCTTTCTTTTTTATTCTTTACTTCGCACTTTGGTTACAATTTAATTTTGGTTTAACCTTTTTTTCTTTTTTACTGATGTAGATCACGAGAAGGAAGGATATGATAAATTGTGGCCGATGAGGAAAAGAGCACGAGAACGAGTACGAGCAGGAGCACGAGCAAGAGCAAGCGGCTTCGTCGAGGAAGGCGAGAAGAAGCGACGACGAGGCGGCACCAGCAATACCAATAAAAAGATCAACACTAGATCTGATGTTAGCGGACATTAACGGTAACTTGGCGGATCTGAGAAGCGAAGCGATGGCGTCGCAGAGGTTTTGTCTGCGTTGGAATAATCATCAAAGTAATCTACTCTCCGTTTTCGACCAACTACTCCATGACGAGTCGTTCGTCGACGTTACACTGGCCGTCGAGGGTCAGCTACTCAGGGCACATAAGATGGTGCTGTCGGCGTGTAGCCCTTACTTTCAGGTAAGGATACCTATCCGCCATCCGCCCAACAAATCTATCCTCTGCATTAACCCTTTGCACTCCAGCCCTGTTTCACAAGATTATCATAAAATAATTACTCATAAGATTACAACTCGTAAGATCACTAAATAAAGAGCTTAGGAACCTATTTAGAATATTCTAAAAAAATCAAACATAAATAAATATTGTCGCCTTTCAAGGCATTCACGTAACAATTCCAATAGAGGCATCGCTGGAGAGCAAAGAGTTAATATTATTATAATAATACTATATATAATATATATATTATATAATTATTATAATATATTATAATAATAATCAATCCAATGATTGGAGAGCAAAGGGTTAATATTATTATAATAATACTATATATAATATACTATAATATAATAGTATATGTACAATATACTATAATATATAATTACTATAATATATTATAATAATATTTGCATCAATTCAAATGGTGCCAGAGAGTCACCATTGGAAAGCAAAGGTTAATATTACAACAATATTAAATTATTACAACATATATATTATAATAATACTATATATAATATACTATAATACTATAATATATATATAATATATATTATAAATATATATTATATATAATATTATGTATATAATATATATAATATACTATAATATATAACTACTATAATATTATAATAATATTTACATCAATCCAAATGATATCGTTGGAGAGTAAAGGATTAATATTATTATAATATATATATTATAATAATACTATATATAATATACTATAATATATAATTACTGTAATATATTACAATAATATTTGCTGCATTAATCCAAATGGTGTCAGAGAGTCACCGTTGGAGAGCAAAAGATTAATGTTATTATAATAATATTATATATAATATTATATATATAATATATATAATATACTATAATTACTGTAATGTGTTATAATAATATTATTATATATATAATATTATATATATTATATATATATAATATACTATAATAATATTTATTTATATATCTGTATATATAATATTATATATATAATTACTATAATATATTATAATAATATTTCCTGTATCAATCTAAATAGTGCCAGAGAGTCATCATTGGAGAGCAAAAGATTAATATTATTACAATATATATATTATAATAATACTATATATAATATACTATAATATATATA